TGCTCATCGGTTCCTTCCAGGCATGGAAGAAGCTCAAGTTACTTGACATTAGCTTCAAAACAAGGCCGGCAAGTTGCTTCTGGGCACACAGCATGGGCAGAAAATCTGCAATTCATTTGCTACTGGTCCTTGATTAGAGCCGAAGGAGGTCTTAGAAAGCAGCATGTCTGTAGCTTGGTCTGGCCTCTGCCACAGCCAAGCTCTTCTCTTTGCCAGCTCTTTAACTCAAGGAACAGAGTCTCATCTCTGGGACCTTCTCCAGGTCCAGTCCTCATCTGTGGACATGACTCTTGTTGGTACAGAGCTGCAATTCATTGCACCTTCACCAGGCTGTGGCTGACCTGAGATGTTCAGTAGAACCTGTGCTGCTCCCTTGTCCTCTTGCAGCATCTCTGTTGCACAAACAAGTGGGGGAGAAGGAGGCAGCAGGAAGGAAAAAGATGAAATGTTTTGAAAGGAAACCAAATGGGAGCTAAAAACGCTCCTCACTTCATCCTACCACTTTTAAATTAAAGGAAGAAAAGGCGAAGCACTGAAAGTACGGCATTTATATGTGGTGCTATTTGCCTTCAAAGTGCTGGGTATCACCTGCTTGCGTGCACTGCTGTCAGAAACCTTCGCAGCACCCCAATGCACTCTTGGAGCAGCATGTCACTGTCCCCATTGATCCCTGTTCATTATGGCTTCAAGCTCTTCTTGCAGAAACACTGGGTGTGAAAAAAAAAAAGAGCAGCCGTGACACCAAGGCCATGTGCATAAAGATAAATTACTTGGAGATTAGTCAAGCCACACATATTTCAGGAAAAAAAAGGCACATGACACAACTTCTAACAGCACTTTAACCCTACTGCAGCTGCAGCAAAATTATTCACCAGGGAATGGGGGCTGCGTGCATCATGCTGTTAAGATTCTGACTTGCAAGACACCCCCGATTTAGCTGCCTTGGTTTAACGACCAGCTCTACCTCAGTCCTACACTATTTGAGTAAGTCACTTCATTTCCTGGTGTTACAAATCTTTTGCCAAGAAACTTGAAGCACTCCTTTTAAACCAAGGCAGCAATAAGATGAGAGGTGTCCTCCAAAAGTTGCAGTTGTAGGAGATAAAATAAAAAGGGCTGGGAGACTGCAGCACACCAAGTGAACTGTGAATTGAGCGCCAGGAGGAGAAATTTCGTATTTTAAGCCTGCCTATTTTTTGTCATGACATAGCAATAAGAAAGGGAACTGGATGCTTGTCTGAGCAGTCCTGCCTGTCTGAAATAGGAACCTTTTGGTTTCTTCTGGAGCTGAAGGATGAATCTCAAATAAGAATATATACAGTCTTGCCAAGCAAGGAGTGCCAGGCAGACACCACATCAATCTCTCTCTACCTTCTTCTCAAATTGAGGCAAGCAGCCCACTGTAGAGGTTTCATCACCTTGTACGTACATTCTCTGGAAGAATAAATGAGATTGTCACATGCCAGGCAGCAGCGTGTCAAACCCAAAGTCAGGTGATGGAGAGGTTTCCTGGTCCTCACACAGCACTTGTGATGGAGAGCCGAGGGAAAGGCATGCAGACCATTGTTTTATCTTGTTGCAGTTCAGTGGCTTGTTCTTTCTATGCAAAAGCTCTTTTCAATGGAAAGTTTAAACCAACTTTCACTTTAAAAGTCTTCTCCTTAATCTTTCAGGTTGGGCTTGGGTTTTCTATCTGACATGTACTTATTTTATGTGACTGCAGTTGGTCTGGTTGTGTGGTTTGTTTCAACACTTGCAAGGAAACAAGGAGCTCTTTTGCTCTACTGTTCCCCTCTAATAGACATTAGAGATGGTTCTTTGTACTGAAGTTTAGGCTCTGGCTCTGCTCTGGCTATAAATCCATCTGGGATGGGAGCGTTTGGGATTTGATGTCCCGCGTTCACTCACTTGTCTTTCAGGAATGAAAATGATGTTTAGGGCTCCGGTCATCCATTTTGCTCAGGCCTCCATTTAACAGAAACTTGAAAAGGCAATTTCTTCCTATATTTCCCATGTTGACATTTGAGGGATTTGACCAACAGTAGCAATAAGGGAAGCGAAATCTCTTCGGGAGCACGTACATGAAACCTCTCAGACAAGTGAGGGCACTTGAGGTCAGCATGTGATCTCCATGTGCAGTTAGTTAAGAGATCCTTTACATCCCAGGAGAGACCATCAAGTGTAAAGAAACTTCAGATCGATGCAATTTCATCCTTGACAAGGTTCAGTGCTTCCATGGGACTTCAAACACTGTTACATTAAACTGAATTCATGTTAACTTTCTTGTGTTCCCATGTAATGAGATCTAGATACTTCTCCTTTTCCTTTCAGCATCATGAACAAATTGCAAAGTTCATTTACTGCATGGCAAAAAGAGGAAAAAAAGTAGTGTGTCTCATGTAGTTATTGAACAATCTGATATCAGACAGGCCAGGAAAAAACATGACACATCCTTTCTTTCAACTCAGACTCTAGACAGTATTTTAAATTCAGAGGGAAGGCTAGCGGTGGGACACAGGGTCCCAGTCCCCACTGCAGCAAGAGTGTGGCTTGGTGGACGCTCACTCCAGAAGCAAAGGGCTCTGGGGGATGTGCTACAGCTCTTCTGGAAACTGCACTTGCAGCTTGTGGCACAGAAAGTTGACGAATTTGGTTTTGAAGATAGTTTCTAGGTCTCCTGCAGCTAATGCAAGACAGTGGGAGGGTCTGCATTCAGTTCCTGTGTCTGGTGCTTGACATCCCACCCAGCCTTGCTTCCCCATCTCAGGGCAATGCAAAGCCTTTCTTTCCATGCCTCTTTGTTTTGTTTGCTTGTAATGTCAGCCCTAGCACATCTGACTATACATTACATCAGCCTGAACTCTGCTTGGATCTTATACGGCCCCTCCAGCCACTGCTCTGCAAAAGACAAAAAATATTATTTCTTCTGCTCATTTGCAGTTAGCTTTGTCTCATCTCCCGGCAGTTGCTGGTTTTGTGCTGTTTCCCATAATGAAGTTTGCAAACACGAGCACAAACCACAAGGGTTCTGGTTCCTCCTCGCCTGCATCACTTCTTTAAGCGGTTGTTGAAACGAAAGTCTGCTATAGTATTGTCAAAAACTTGTTTCAGCTATACGGTACCCGAGCTTGTGTTGATCTTGGTGGTAGATACAAACTTGCTTCCTGCATCATTGCGGAGTTAAGGTGACGCACAGACAGAGGTTGTGCAGTCCTGATAAAATGGCTTCTGTCATTCACCTCTTTACGACGACCGCTTTTTTGTTGATGGTACTTTTGTAGATGGGTCCTGTCCCTGGAGAATAGTCTGCAGAATGGGTGCTCCCAATGCTGGACCCAGTGTTGGTGGGGTGAAGATGGAGAGTGATGTTTGCACAGGTTTATCCATTGTTTGCACACCTCAGGATTTCCTCTCCTGCAGACTCAGTTCCGACATCTCCAAGGAAAAATGCACCAGGCATGATGGTCCCTGCATTTCGCCTGGTCTGACTGCTGCTCTCTGCTCTCAGGCTGTGCCCTGTTATTGTGGCAAAAGGTCCTCCTGGACAGGGGTAAAGCTCAGGCAGAGAAGAAGTGGCAGCTCTTTGCACAGCAGCAGAGAGATCAGAGAGCTTGTCCAGACAGTGAGACACAGCTGCGGGGTGACAAGCCCGTGTTTCCTGCAACCTCGGGGAACGTAGCAGCAGGCTTCCTCCCCAACCACCCACGCTGTTAAGCCAATTTTAAAATAACAGAACACACACTATGCTGCTTTTGGAAAGTGCAGCTGTAGGTATAGGCTGTAGGACTGGCAGACCATGCTGTGCTCCAGCTTGCTACAACCTAAAAATGCAGAAGAAATGAAAAACATACCAAGCACAGGGGAGGACAGCAGGGATTGGAGAACGAGGAAAAAACCAATGAACAAGATGGGATGCATGGTGGAGTCAGAAATGTGCCGTCTCACTATACAGTGCTGAAACTGTCAGTAAGGTGATGAAGGAGGAATAAATGGCATCAGAGTAGTCCTTTACCCCAAAAGGCGTTATTTGCTCTGACAACACTCTGGGCAGTGACTGATGCTCCATTGTGGCCTTGGAATTCTTGTTCTCAGATCTGCAACAAGTTTGGTCCCCTTGGCATGTGCTGTCTGCAGCGTACACACTGGCAGGGTGGGATTGTCCCCAGGAGGGATGTGGTGGGGTGTCTGGCCTTGTGGCTACTCGTTTCCTGGCTTTACTTGCATGGAAATACCCTGGACCTGCTGTCTGAGGTGCTCCATGGACCTTATGGAGGTCTTCTGCAGTCCCTGACTGCCCAGTGTCCCCCACAGACCTCTCCCTAACCTGGGGGTTAGAAACTTTTGCTGCAAATCATCGCTCTTTGGATACAGAATTTCAGTGCTAGGACTGAGACCACAGCTCTAGACCTCACTCCATCTCACAGATTGCTAAACTCAGAATGGGATGAACCATGGAGTTTAGAGCTTGATAGTCCAACTTAGAAACTTGGTGGGGAAGGGAGAGGAAATTGTTTTGATTCAATGTGAAAAAAGCACATCTGGAGATTTTTCTCAAGTAAATAAAAGAAGGAAAATGATATTTTTGTCAATGAAGTAGTATAGCTAGACTTACAGAGAGATCTTTATTCTTTTTGCATTTCTTTTTACACTTTAAAAGACTATTGCTATATTTAGCTCAATTCTGAAGCAAAATGCAATTTCAAAATGTAAAGCCAGGACTTTCTGGATAAAAAAATGTTGAAACAAAACTCATTAACTTTGTAATTCCTCCATCCTCCTTCAGAAGCTTGCAGAAAAAGACAGTTAAACCCAATAACAAACCGATAACTTTTGCTTCAATATTTCCTTGTACAGGATTTTAAACCCTTCATGACTGTCTCAGTTAGAGACCCATCCTGCATTAAGGACTGTGGCCATTGCGTGCTCCCTGGAAACAAATTTGCTGATAGGAAGTTGGCCCAGAGCCTACTGAATTGCGTCTTTTGCTTTTGTTCTCCTAGGTTATGAGTGTTTTGCTGGTAATTGAGTACTCCCTGGAGGTGGCGAGCGGGAGAGGCTTTTGCAAAGACCTGGACAAAGATTACTACAGAATTGGTAGGTCACCAGGATGCTGGAAAGCAGCAGAAGTCTGTGGGGTTGAGAAGGAGCCCAAGATCCTGCACTGGTCCCGGTCCCTCTTTCTTCTTCAGCAAAGAAAATTAGAAACTGGTATTCAGAGCAGAAGGGCCAAAAGCTGAGACCCAGAGAGAAAAGTTAGGCTCTAAAGGTATGGATTTTGGTTTAGGCCATGGCTGTGTTGGTTTTTTGGAGCCCAATGTGGAGCCCAGTGAGGTTGTCTTTATTTCAGTGGATACGGCCCTCAGTCCAAACTCTCCAGTACTCCCATACTCCCCCTTCCCACTCCCTCTCCAATACATTTTACATTAATCTGACAATCCTGGTTTCCCCTTCTCTTTCTTTTCACCAACTGTAGATCATTTAAGCCTTACACATACTGCTGACTCCCTTCACATGTTGGGCATTTTCCAGGAAAACACTGAACTGTCTGACCAGCTCCTCAATGGACCCAGTCTGGTCAGTGACCACGGGGTCCTGGAGTGGGGAGAAATAACAGCCCCACACTACATCCCATGGGTGCATGGGCTACCTGATGTTGCTACCAATACCCTGCCCTCTCTGCCATGGAGCCATCCTCTTCTCAACGTCCATCATGCCATGCAGGGGTCTCCTACCTCACAGTTGAAGGCACTTCAGAGTGCCACACCAGCCCACATCGCTTTTCCCCCTGTCCCTGTGGCCCCCATCCCCAGATCTTCCCAACCACTGGTTCTTGCAGAACTGGTTGTCTGGAAGAAGCAGCCAGGCTGTTTTGTATCCCACAAATAGTCACAAGCATCATATTCACCACAGTTAATTGAATTCCTATAGCTTGAACTAGGAAGGATCTAGCTTGGCTTTCAGAGACCTGACAGACTTCTCATGTGGGGTGCCATTTAAAAGAAAATAACTCCCCAAACCTCAAATATTACTTAACCAGGCTAATTTTGCATGAAGGTGTTTGGAAACAACAAACGCAGGGTGCTTTTTCCTTTTCTTAGTCACTTTTCGGTGTAAAACCACAAGTTGAGATAACCCTTCTCCGCTGTGTGCAGAAAGACGGAAACCAGACTCCCACACCCTGCATTGTCTCTCCCTGCGGAGGAGACTCATAGTCAGAGAAAAATGCAACCCACAGCAGCAAGGACTTGCCTGTTCCCTGCTTTTCCAGTGTGTCCTTCCCCGAGCTGCAGGCAGGCACGGAGAGGCCCCCTGTAAGTGGAGAAAGAAGAAGTCAAGTACAGCAGATCCCTGCACATCCCAAACTCACTTGTCCCCGGGGTAGGAGTCGGACACAGTGGAAAGCACCAAAAATAGGCATAGTCACTGTCTGGGTGAGGTCATTGTTAACACATGGGTTCATATTTTTCAAAAGAGCCCAGCTGGGTTTTAGGAGGCACCACTGTGATCCGCCAAGGCTGTTTTGAAAGGCATCAACAGTGACAGAAGATGGAAATTTGGGTGAGTCCTGCTAATAGGACACCCAGCAAGGGTCTGCTGGTTCACGTCTTTCACACAGGGCGTTATTTCCAAAGTAGTCCCGTCTGGGTGGGTTGGAGGCTACTTTGCTTAGCTGTGGTCCACACAGGCTCCTCTGGAGCTGTGGCTCAACTCAACACCCAATGTAGACTTGCATGATAACTGCTTTGGAAAACTCTTTCTGCAGAGCTTTCCCATTAGGGCAACAGGTTCTAAAACCCGGCTGTTTTCCAGGTGGCTGGGATCAGCACCACATAGGTAGGAGAATCCAGTTTTCCATTTCTGTAATATATGTTTCTGGTTTTAATTTTACGGATACAAACTGAAGAACATAATGCAAGTGTGACCTTAAGGTCTGCCTCCCTTTTTTGGGTTTGGGTTTTTTTGTTGTTGTCGTTTTTTGGTTTGTCTGTGTTTGTTTTGATGTACCTGGCTTGGACATGGGCACAGTTGGAAATATTTTTTCCTGATGGTAGAGTATGCACATGCATTCTGACTAATACAGTGATCTGAACTGCTGAAAACTGAACATGGTAATACTTTCCCACAGATACAGTTATGTAAAAATGACAATTGTTTTTCATTATTTTTTGCAGAAAGATCATCCAAGGCCAGTAATTTTTACTTTTCGTCAAGTATCTAAGTAAAATATTCTTTAAAGAAAAAGAGACAAATCATTGAGTCAGATTTTTCAGATCATTTCCATACAAAATCATTATAAGCTTTCTAAGCAAGACGTGCATTTCTGCAAATCTGGAGGGTTTTCTTTAAGAATAGAACCATTCCGAGTGAAATTGGCCCTGTTTTTAGCAACCCCCCCTCTTCCCACACAATCAAAATGACAGGTCTTCCCCCTCCCCCTCTTCTACTGCCTCCTACACAAAAAGGAACATTTTATAATGAAATCCCCAGCACTTCCACTTGGCTTCTCTTCCCAAGTATTTCAAAGGCCTCTGCTTGGGAGATTGTGAGTGTTTTCTGATTATAGTTGGAATAAACACAGTGCAACCCTTCTATTTCCAGAAACTAGCAGGGAAGCAATACAGCAAAGCAGTACAAAAAGTTCAATTTGATTTCAAAACCCAGATGGAAGAGTTGGAGAACAATTTGGGGAGAGGTTCTGTCGATGCCCTCAGCATCTGCTGCTTTATTTGTAGATCCTGCCAGATTAAAGCACGTCTCAGAATATATAATGCTAACGCTGTCATCATGGCCCAAGAATATAAACAAGGCAAGGTTTATGGGAAAACACTTTTCACATGATACGGTAGGAAAAATACATATAGGAGTTCTTTATAAGGAATCAGAGCTCTCTCAAGATTTCTCAGCAGTTATGTTTTGCTGCCTTAAAAAGAGGGGCTGGGATGGGCCTCGACTTCCATAGGTATGGTCAGGGAGGGGAAGGAGAATGGGGATTGTTGCAGGTTTTTGTGATTGCCAGGGTAATGGGAAGGGTGACTGGGTCAGCTGCCCTTAGAAGAGGGATGCTCTCTCCCTTGCAGCCTGCTACTCCTTGCTGTCTTGGCTTACAAGATGCCACAGGCAGCACAGGACGGACAGTGCTCCTCTGAAATCTGTTTTTCGATGAAAGTTGACCAAGAAATTAATATAAGACCTGCTGAAAATCTTGGATTAAAATGGGAAGACGACCCAGGTTCTTCTTTGTCTTTGGGAGCCTTGAAGATAATTTTCCCCCTCCTAGTGTGGTCAATGACAGGATGTTGGCTAATCTAAAGTAGGTCTAAATTTACTACCTAACTAATATTTAAGAAATAACACAAGATTAATTTGGCCAGGCAGAGGGAACAGGAGACAAACTTTGTTGCATGGTGATTTGGGCCATTCTGTTGCAATTTGGAAGAATTAGGTTCACATCTCTATGCTCTATCTCACGTACAGCAGAAATTTGGATGTGCATTTCCCATGCAGCCTCCCCCATTTCCAGTCAATTAGAAATCTTATCCTGGAGCTGAGAAGCCTTCCTAGCAAAATTCTTCTTGGCAGTACTTCATTCCTGAAAGCATATAAGCTTTGGCAGACTAGCTTTTCCTGCTGGAAAAATAAAACCAAAAAGCAATCCCCCCAAAACATTTCAATTAAAACCTCCTTACCAGTTCTAAGCTGCTAACACAAATGGTTTTCTGCCTGAAAAAGTTACACCCCACTGCTTGCCATAGGTCAGATCTTTAGGATGTCTTCAATTCGTGCCTGTGTACAGTCTGAGTGTTAATCACTTTTATTTTTCATTAATGACTATAAAAATTGAGGCTGTGGACAAAGTACAACTGGAAAAGTTGTTTCAATTTCTGTCCAGTCAGCCAAGAAAAATACCTCAGTTATGCCTGAAGACCTGTGTGCACAGCACATACCATATCCTATGCACACCATTTCCTATGCAGAAAACATTCCCTCCTTCTCTGATGAAAAGCAAATCCAGCTAAAGGGACTGGGAGGCTTCTTTCCCTTGCTGGTCCTGCCCACCCTTTGAATGCGGCTGTCCAGAAACAACTCCCTGCAGCTTATCAACAACACCGAATCAGACACTGCCACCCTTGACAATCTGTGAATGTAACTGTTAAACCACAGCTTTATGAGCCCTGTTTATATTTCCCATGGCAGTTTATTGGGCCATAAAATAGAAAGGGGTTTCTCTGCATTCATGGGAAATATTAGGACTCATTCAATGTCCCTCCTGGCTACATTCAGGGCAAAAACCCTGATGTGACTTTAATAAAAAATAGACATTTGGCAAATAAATGCTCTCTCTCCCTGTTGGATTGGTGGGGGGTTTGGTACTACTTGCTAGCGTTGCAAATATCTAGTGCAGCTCTGTGGAGGCTCTGTCATATGCCCCCATTCTGGTTACACCACCTCCCCAAGGAAAATGGCATTTACTTCACAGCACATCTCATTAAATTCCCTGGGATCTCTGGGAGATTCAGGTAATCTCAGAGATTTGAGTAAGAAAAAACATAAGAAAGAGCATGTTTATGTATTTATTGCTGCTGTTTATTCCTGTATGCTTTTGGAAAAAGGTGCACCTCAAAGGGGGCAAGCTCTCACCACACTCTCTGCCAGCAATAAAGTACCACTGCCAGCATGGAGGTGGCTGTGGAACTGAAATATCCTTGCAGGTAGGATATTCTAGAGCTATAGGAATGAAGCAGGTTTTGTGAGGAGCAACATTTCTTCCCTGCCTGATTTTGTAAACATCGAAACAGAGCAAAAGTAAGGTGGATGCCTGGAGGTTTCCAGTCCAACCTCCTGCTTGAAATAGGGCTGACTCCGAAGTTGGGGCAGCTTGCCCAGGACTTTGTCCAGTTGAGGTTTGCAGATACCCCAGAATTAGAATTCTACAACCTCTCTACACCCCTGTTTAAGACTGCATCACTTATTGTAAGATTTTTCTTCCTTTTATCTGGAATTTCCTTTATTGTAACAATTGCCTCTTGTCTTGCAGTAACAGCCCTCAAAGAGCCAGTGCACCTTCTACAGGGACAAACCCTGTTATTCTCTGAACACCTGGTACTTTTTAAGGTGTTGTAGAGGAAAACAGGTTATTCCTGAGACAGGCAGCCAGATGAACATTCGAGAGGAACAGAGGGGAAAACCATGGAATGATGCCCCTGTGTTTGAGATTATACAGGTGCTCAAGCTTGGTTCAAGATTCCTGAATTTTGCCCTTTTCTGAGGGTTTTTAAGTACAAAAGAGACAAACATTCATCCCACAAAGGCCAACTAAGCATGAGGGGAAATACCGAAGAGACTTAAAAATTAACATCTTATATTTTTGGACAACAGATGCTGGGCACGGAAAGAGCCTGTTAGCCACAGTAATCCGGTCTCTATGGTCTGTTGTGGCTGCAAATGCCTCAAACCCCAGGGATCCCCAGGGATCTACTGCTGGTTCTGGAAGGTAACTTGCCACTCTGCCAGCCCTTGCAAAGTATTCCAGGTGGCATTTGATCTCTCTATAACATGTACCGCATTCCCTTCTCATGGAGGGTTTGCCCAGACAAGGCTAAGAGCCAGCAGCTACCACTATCTAAGAGGGTCACTCCTTCAGCCCATCTGCTGCATGTGCTGCCACAAAGGAAGAAGTCATTTCGTTTAAGTAAAATCTTTGATTACTCACATCAAATGCATTGGTACTGAAACGACCCTGGAATGGAGAGCTCTGCTGCCAGCAGAAAGTGTAACTATATTGGCTGTGAACAAATAGGAGGCAGACAGTGCGTAGAAAGTTGTTTTCTATTGGTTTTCCTTTTCTTTCCATCCCTCTGTGTCTGTAGGGTTGCAGGCTTTTTGTTTCTTTGTTATTTTGTTCAGGGTTTTTTTGATCTAGGTTCTGCTTGGAAAATTCAGCTGGGTTCTACCGGCAATTAGCCTGTAGAAGCAACGGCCAGTTGCCCAATTAATTAGCAAGCCTGCCGAGAAAGCTGGAACATGAGACCATGTAGAAAGAGGCAGAAAAACACAGCTGACTTGAATCTGAGGAAACACCGTGCTAAAGAGATAAATCCTCTTTGGGGTAAACTTCTGATGGTTGGTTCTGGGAGGAAAACCAGGGAAAATGGCTTGAGGCAGTTTGGGGTTTAATGGGACTGGGACTGTCTCCTTTTATGGCTGTTCCTACAAAGGCTGAGTCTGTCTTGTTAAGCTCTTTTTTGTTTTGAGTTTATGCTGTCCTCGTGTTAATCTTTGAGTTCTTTGTGCACCAGATCACAGCCTTTTCTCTACTTTCCTGCTTCTGAAAGGTGGGTTTGATTTTTTGCCTTGAAGCTTAGGCTCTTCCCACGACCCTTGCGAGCTGCAAAGCAATTCTCCATTGCCCTCTCTGTTCTCATTCGGGGTTTGCTGGATTTGGGTTTTCTTTCTTTGCCGTTTCCTAAGACTTCTTCCTCTTCTGCTTTTCAATTCTCATTACTTTGTGGTAAACAGATCCTGCATTTGACTTTTTTTTATCAGGTTATAAGTAAAAGTTATTTTCTTGTTTTGTGCCATCAAAACTTTTTTCCTGATGGAGGTTAAGTGTTTGTTGGATACTTTTGATCACTCCCTTAGGTCTTGAATGTCTGACACCTCTGTGTGCAGCAACTCATGCAGTGCTGCTCCCTCTCTTGAGAAAAGCTATTTTTGCTTCCTTGAGGGATGCAGCCTCCTCAAAGGGTTTTTCCCTTTGAGACCCAGAAAGGAAGAGGCTTCTCATGCTCAGGGAAGGAAGTAGTGGTCAGAGCTTCTTTTCAGACTAAAGGTTTCTCATCAGCAAATCTCATTTCTAGAGGAGATTCAAGCATGTTGCTAATTCCTGAGAAGATAGTAAGGGAAGTCAAAATATCTTTTGTATCAATGCATTTAAATAAAATGCACTCTCTGCTAGCAGAGTAAGGATGTGAGGAGTGGTGGTATTGGTGATACCTGCCCTTGCTGCCAGATGCGGCTCAGCCCAGCTGCCAGGCAGGTCCTCTACAACCCTGGAAAGGCTCCAGAGCTTCTCAGTTTTGTCTTTGGTCCTTTCTTCAACTGGCATTTGTCCATACCCACATTGCTTAGCAGAGCCTGGATGCAGTACTTGACAGTTTGCGTATGCTGCAGCTGCTGCATCTAATGGGTGCCCGTTTCCTGCCAGATGTTCTGGGCAGCACTGGGTGGTAGGTCTGCCCTTCTCCAGCATGGCTCTCCCTTTGACTTGGGTTGACTGTTTGCATTTGCTCCCTCAGACAGAGTGGCCAAATTATGACATAGCTTTGACTGCTCCAATGCAAATGTTTTGTTGCTGTAAACAACCATGTTGGTGTTATCTGCCTGAAAAAGAGGGATGGGTTTCTCTGCCTCAACATCTTTGTAATTTATTTTATTCTATTGTCAGCAAAGCTAGGAAGTGAGTTAAGGACGCTTTGGTGTATGCCCAAGCACTGAAATATTCCCCCACCTGCTAAAAATGTAATGTGGTACCAAAGCTATAGGCAAACACTCAAAGCTGGGAGAGAGGTAGGGGCATTTTCATGGGGAAAAAATGGATAATATGGAGCAGTGAAGTATTTCAGAGTAGCTGGAATAGATCAGAGATCCAACAGGCTAAAGCATAATTTCTAGATTTCTTTATGAAAGCAAGTAAAAGGGGTAATGGAAAAATAGTTAGGCACTAGATTTATTTAATAGCCATGGAATAAATTGGGCAGTTGGCAGGGGGGAAAGCAAACCAGTAATCAAACATATCTGATGTTTGAGAAACATACCTATGGAAGGGATCAGTTGCTTTAAAAAAAGTCAGAAAAGTTAAAAGTTTGGCTCTTTTCTAATAAAATTACATTTTTCATTCAAGCACTTGGGAGTTGGAGACCCCAAACAGACGGTTGCTGTTTTAAACTCAGGTAAAGCAATAAGAAAGAAATTGGAGAGTGAGTTGGAGGGGGCACTGTGAAAAACTCTACATTATGCAGAGGCAGAAAAAGAAAGTAGCAGTGTTTTGCCTTTGGAGTGAGCTGCCTTTTTTTTTTTTTTTTTAAAGAAGCAAACCAACTTTACAAAAAACTTCACACTGTCTAGACTGCTACAAAGACCAAATGTGTATACTGTATGGTGCAAGCAAGGCTTTGGTAGTCATCATCAGGGCAGGCTGCAATACCAAGAGGGAAAATTGCTTCCTGGGAACTGTTCAGTAGGAAGCTACATGTATATAAGACATCACCTTCCTTCACCCAAAACAGCTGACAAAGATTACCTTCATCCCTGCAGGTAGAACTGTCTCATGTTGTTATCCTCACACATTTATTTTTAATGTGTATGTTGCATCCTACAGCTACAGAGAGTGGAGGTGATGAGATATTTCTGAAACTCTGTGGGCATCCTACAGCTACAGAGAGTGGAGGTGAGATATTTCTGAAACTCTGTGCTCCATACCAGTGGTGGGTAGTTAAAACTCGTGCTTCTTGTCTGCTTGCGAATCTTGAAACCAACAGATTTCATTGTTGGTTACTTTATCTGCCTTTGAGTCTCAAAATAATTTCCAACTCAGACTTATAAATCATTAGCTAAAAGCACTTTGCCTTTTTTTTTTTTTTTTTACTTCATTTTACCTTAATACTGTAACCTAGGATATTTAAAATTTCAGTCCAGGCAATTAAAGGTTTTTGGCTCCTATGTGCCTGAGCTGACAGCCTGCTCGATCCGGTGGCTAAAGAAACAGAAGCTTCAAAGACAGATGAAAAAGTGGGTGTAGAAAGGAAAAAGGGGTTACCTTCCAGCTGCACGGTATTCATTCCCCCACATATACAATTCTTTCTGCCAGGTTATCACACTTTAACTCTTTCTTAGAGGTATGCTTGAATTGGGACATTAGGCTCCAGCTTTTAGTAATGTGGTAATTACTTTTATTACTTTTAGCTGATGTCATCACCAGTTTCTTGTTGATCATCATGCTGTTTGTCATCAGCTTCAACCTCCTCCTTGGTGTGGTGAAGGTATGTTCTCCACAAATGACATTTAGCTGCTGGCTGAGGCCTCTCTGAGTTAGGAGGTATTAGAGGAGGGGACTAGAGGATGCTCACTGAAAATGCTGAAGTGTGATCAAAAAAGCAGATATATATCTCTGCTCTCTTACAGAGGGGGAAGGCAGCTGGTTTGCAGTCTCAGGCTCATCTGCAAGGCTGCTAACTGCCAGATTTACCAAGTCTGGGTGACATTTCCAACAAGACTATTTTTCTTGTTAAGGAATGGAAATGTTATGATTTGGAAATGTTGTTTTATTGCCTCATTTCCTTGCTCTTTTGCAAGTCAGATCCTGGAGAGGAACTGTAACTCCCCTATTACACTGGGGATTTGTTTGCCATTTCAGAAGAAATGACCATGCATTGGTGTGGGAATCCAGTTTTCTCTGTAGCGGTAAACTTCGGGGTCAGCTGAATGACAGCTCTGATGGGATCAAATGCCAACGTCACACAGTGAACATTCACAGAAACTTTGCAAGGGGGTGAAAAAAAATCAATGTTGATGCCCTTCATTGTTTCTGAATCAATTGTTGCCACAGTATGTGGAATTAGATGCAGAAATTCCAAGAAAGTATTTATTCTTGGAGTACCTTAATATATTCAGGTATTGATAGCTGGTCTCATTCTCCCATTCAGAATAGAAATAACTGGCATTGCTTTTCTTTCTCAGAAGAGGGAACGTCTCCTGATCCCGTTCCTTGCTCTACAAGTCATGGACTTTCTCCTCAGCCTTCTAACAATGTTCAGTTCCTACATACAAGTCCCAGCGATCATCTCTGTGTCCTCCATTAGCCACAGGGTAGGTAACAGCTCACTTCTGGGGGAGTCTGCTCTGTTCTCTATGAGATGGAGACCGATGCGTAATGTAGGAATAAAGGACCATTATCTTGGGCCGTGGTTCTTCATGGTGAGGTAGTTTCTACGCTGGCTGGAGACAGGATGCAATCCTTGGGGGCTAGAGGGTGCGCAAGGAAAACTAGTGACAGCTGGGACATTGTTTAGTTTCCCATGTCTGGGAATCTTCCTGTTGATTTTATTTTCCATCTCATGGCTTTGGGGAGGTCGTTCTGGGTGTGCCCGTGCTAGGAAGGGTTTGCTGGAGATAAGCTAGGAATATCACTGCTCCAGCTAGAGGCCTCTTCTGGGGAGCTTGTATAAATCAGCCCAGCAAGATGGTTCCCTCATCATTTTGGCTAGTATAAGTGAATTAAATAGCTTAGGCTATCAAAGTGAACAAAGCACAGGGCCTGTGTAAAATGTGGAAAATCTATAGAAGAGACGCAATCTTGTAATCATAACCAAATTCCTGTTCCCTGCCCTTCTTGCAGCAGGGACACTCGAAGATCCCTTTCCTGGCTCTGCAGCTGCTGGACTTCTGCCTGAGTATTCTTACTCTCTGCAGCTCTTACATGGAGGTCCCCACCTATCTCAGCCCCAAGTCTTCAGACAATGGGGTAGGTTATGAGCAAGCTCAGCTGATTTTTTTCATGATGTGAACCCCTATGAAGTTTCTTTCAGTGGCTGTTAAGACAGAGTAAACTTTCTCTGATCTCTACAGTATACCTAGAACTGCTCTGTTTGATGACAAAAGAGGATTTTCCATGTTCTCACCAACACGGTGTTCTTGACTGACAGCTTGCTTATGCATGTGTTTCTTAAAAGTACACTTTGTTTTTCTTGTAGGAATCTTATGGATGCAAATTGCAGAGCAAAATGATTTGGATAGAGCCTGCCTGCATGCATTGAAAATGCATCAACTTTTCATCTTTATTAAACAGTCATACTTCTAGTTCTCATTTAAATAGTCTTCTGAAAATCTTTGCCAAAGGAGTGTAAACAGCAGGAGGAGAAAAATATCCCTGTACCCTTTCTGATGAGGAAAGGAAGGTGGCTTTTCCCACCTTTCTGAGAGGCAGGTTGAGAAACCTGCTGAGATCTCCACCACTTTGTGTGACCCTGGTAGAGGGAACAAGTGTTCATGACTGAGACTCTCTCCCTCTTTTCACAGGGCTTTGTGCCAGCCCTGGAGAAGTTACCAACAGAGGAATATGCCAAAGTGATGGTCACCTTCACCATTGCGTTCATTGCTGTCCTCTTCCTGAAGGTAAATGGCTGCAGGGTCTGGTGAGACTGAAGTGAAGCTCTCTTTCATGGGGGATAGGAGGAATTGGTTTTACTTCTCTTTCGAATCTGCCAGGGCATTGGAAATCCTTGTTGGTCTCTCCTTGGGCGTAATAGGAGCTATGCCTCAGCGTAGTGTCTGAGGCAGGTCTAATATTCAAATCACTGGTTTTATACTTCTGCTGATGTGAGTTATAAAGCAAAATCTCTCTTATATTCAGAAACTATTACTGCCCATTCATCTCTAAAAGGATAAGACGTTTGAAAACAAATATAGGAAACTCTTCTGCTATTGTGTGCCAAAATAAATTAGATCATTAAGCAGTAGGTTAGATCTTCCACTTGGGTAAGTCGCTGTATCAGCACTGATCTAAGCAGAGTTGTGCACACTGATACCCTGAAATTTAATTAAAACCCGTGAGCTGCTAAATGTTGCTTACATCTCAGAAAACTCCACTGTGAGATGGTTTCTGTTCTTCTTGCTTCAATGGATCAGAGAACAGGTTTTTCACTGAGGGGTTTCAGATCAGCTAAGAAAACTAGATCTTTCCAGGTACTTGAGCAGATTCTGTCACAGTGAAAAATGCTACTTGTTAGTTGGAAAGCATTTTTTATTCAGATTCTTCCCAGGTGGCCAGACAAACCAGTGTGGAGTGGAGAGTCTTACATGACTGCACTACAGACATGACTTTAGCATATCTTTTGATATTTTCATAAACTGTGCAGTAGGAGTGGAGATAACCCTGAAACCCAGCTGGCAGTGTGGGTCTTCAGCAGAAATCTCACTGACCTGGCAAATCGGTTGATTTGAATTTTCCACAGGTTTAGCTAGAAGACTGCTTAACTTGCAATGACTTCTTGCGCTGGAGTTTGTAGGAGGAGGGATTCGGGGAAGATAATAAAAAAAAAAAAAAAATGGACAGGCACAAGTATTCCTTAGTCTACTTAATTCCCCAAAACAAGTCTTTAGGAATGCAATCCTTTAAACTTAGTGACAATCCCTCCCCTCTTCCATGTGTAGCAAAACCATTTTCATGAGAGATCCAAGTGATAAAGATCTGATGAGGAATGTGGCAACAACACGAAAAATTTTAGACCTGAAAAGGCCGTTTGGCCAATTTAGGGCCCATTGGTTTCAATTTACTGAATGCCCACACCAAGGTAGCATTGAAATATGTTGGACTAGCCCAGGATCTTTTTGCATAAATTGATTTGCTTTATGACCCGTCACAAGCATTTATTGCTCTTGCACTAAAATGTTGTTTCTGTGTATCCGGTGCTGTTTGCCTGCCAACTTGCAATTACTGTCCCCAAATAGTTATCTGCATCCCACACCATAGCATAAGTCAGCTAAAAGGTGGTCTGTCAGATGGAGAAGAGATGGGGCACCAGCCCCATTGAACACCTCTGCCAGTGACCTCATGTGTGACCTGCAAGTCTTTGCTCACCCTTTTAGCAGGAAAGATTTCTCGGTCAATGCTAGGGGAATGGTAACGCTCCTCTCCCTCTCTCGTACAACACAACCCTTTGCAGGCACCATGTCCTGTTGCAATGTGGGAGTCTCTCCATGCAACTTCATGGCACCTTACCGGTGTGGTGGCTGGTTGTATGTCTACTTGTAGAGCCCCAACGGTGATATCATCAGTTGTTCAAGTCTAAGTTCCTTGGAGATGCAAAGCATTCAAAGGGCAGAGTGAGTGAAGGGGTGATGCTTACACAGCACCATTAGGGCAGTCTCCCTTGCTGATCTGTGTATCTACAAGTAATCTTTTTCTCACCTCAATATCATAAAGTCATCCCCCCACCACCGCCACGGTGATAAGAACGCAGAAACCAAGGGGGATAAAACATTTCTGATGGGAAATGAAAGAAAGAGTTTAACATAATTACTTCTGAAGTAGCTCGCTTCCTGACCTCTAGGACAAGCTTCCCATCCACTTATAATGGCAACAGCTGCCAGAGAAGATTTCCCTCTTCAATTCAGTATGGAGAAGGGTATCCTACAGTGACCCTTGAGTGTTTTGAGTTAGCCAGTAATGGGATGATCCCAAGGTCACTGGCTGGCTTTACATAAGTTGTGTGTACTGATGTATTCTGCTCGAACCTGCTATTGCTTGCAGCAGTCTTAACTGAAGTCAACTTCATTGAATTCGGTGCAGATACTGGGTTGGCACTGCAGCAAACTCTTCCAGAATCAAATCAAAGAAAGGATTTTTTTTTTTTATTGCTGTTGTATGATTTTTTTTTTTCTTCTTAATTTATTGGGGTTTCTTTCACGGATGAGTGGGGTTTTTTGAACAGTTTATATGATGGCTTCAGTGTCTTGCGTGTTTGCTCTCTGTATGAAGAGGCTTTTGGAAGGGGAAGGTTTTTTGCAACATCCCCTAAAGGTGGTCAAAGTTTGGATTTACCTCCTCATCTCTGCAAGTTTGTTTGAGAGATGGATTTCTTCAACTCAGATACTTCAGTCCTTGTTCTCGTTCTTCATCTTGGCTTTGTGTCAAGACAAACAGTCCTCATTGTTTTAGGAAATCCTAAGCTACATGGCTTGTTCTCAGGGCATATAACTCCTTATGTTCCTTTGAAAATGCCAACTGTTTTTAAAGTAGAGTCTTACGCCAATAAAAATAAGAGGCACACGACTTCGCCTCGCTGCACAGAGTAGGGAAAATATTTATTTAATATGGTATGTTTCACAGGCCTTGCTTATTTTCTTGTGCCACAATCCGTCAATCGATCCATTTTTCTCAGAAAAGCTCTATTTATTGCATCTTGTAACTCTGCGAGGTGTAAGGCAGTCTTGTCAGAAAAGTGTAACTATTGCAAGTATAGGATTTTGTTGAATGAGCTGGCCTTTCAGGTCAGTCCTTGTTGACCAGGGAGCCTTGGATCTCTGGGAGGTGGATGTTGTACCCAAGGTACTCTTCTGAGACATGCAAACTTTGTAGCCTGCTCAGAAAAATAACACGAAAGACACGCTTTCCTTTCCTAGCTGATACCATTGTACTCTCAGAGGTCTTAAGCATGTGCTTTATATTTAATGGTATTACTTATCCTATCGACTTCCCGCACCAGTGTATTGTTCTGAATAGATGGAGTCATCATCTTTCTAGTGAAGGATCAAGAGAGACCGATTTAAGGCCCTGGGACATAAGGTCCCAGGCTTCTACCTCCAGAGAAGAGAGTAGGACAATAGCAGGCTGATGGCAAAAGTGGAAATGCTCTTGTTGACTTGCAATGTAATGGCAGACTTCCCTTTCCTTTACAGGCCTATATGTTCAAATGTGTTTTGAGCTGCTTTAAGTATATTAAAGCCAGCAAGAGAGAGGAGGTGAAAGTCGACCCACAAGCACTTGAGAAGGTGAGTAAAGGCTGCTTCAGATTCATACCAGAAAAAGGCATGGTTTAGACTGATGAGATGCATGACGATCCTTACTTTTGCTTCTTTGGTGGTCTGAGAGATAGTTCAACCCTTCAAATGTGCATTAGCAGGTACTAATAATCAGTTTCCAATTATATTATATTCCTTTAACTTTACTTTTGTATAAAATCTTTCAAAGTCAATGGTATCTGCAAGGAACCTGAAACTCAGGCTTCAGGCAAAGCAGATAAATGGGAATATATCACTTGTATTCTCTGATCCAGAGATATGTTTTTAATTTTAGTTGAACTTTGGTTTCTATCCCTAATAGTGCTACCCTTGTTTAAAATTAAGTTTGTCTTCAGCTTTCACTGGATCAATGTCTGAGAGATTTGGTGCATTGCCTTTCATCTTAACAGTTTGCTAAATAATGAATATCAATGTCCTTCCTTAGATTACTGATGATCTCTTTAATAGTAGCATCCAGCTGCTCTGACACAATGGAAAGATATTGAAGACCTTCCAAAAATAAGAGATACTGTAAAGACGGATGAGAAGTAGAGAGGAAGAATATGGAATGCTAAGTGTAGGCATTTGTCTTGTTGAAACTTGGCAAATATGATGAGCCTTGTCTTGCCAGCAGTGTGTGCCCCTGCTGTGCATGCATCATGGCCCTCTACAATGATCTGAGCTTAGCTGCTTTGCTTAGGCAATGAGGCTTATATTCTGGACATTAAAGAGCCTTGGTCCATTTATTGCAACCATGCTTTGGGAGAAGGAGATGGGACTGGCAGCAAAGTGGTTATAAAGTGCTGCTGACCTCTAACTCTCCTGGATTTCTGCCCTTTATGTCTTACAACCCATGTGGTTCTTCTACCCTGCTTTGAACTAAGTAGAGAAACACATCCAAGATCAAATCTACTTGAAAGCCTTCATGTGATCCCCAGAGCATAACTAATGGTCTTCTCTTTCAGGCTGTGCTGCCATCCTATGAGGAAGCCTTAGAGTTGCCTTCCAAGGAATCCCCACCACCTTATGTAGCAATCTAAGCTCCACTCCACTCATGGAGAGAAGACATCTGTATTGCTGGTGGTGCCTCTTACCCCTTCTGTCAGATAGTCAGCCGCATTGAGAAGTCCTTACTTTATAGCAGTATCATGCTTATTACAATCCAGCTCACTTTATGAGCCTACAAAGAGTGATGGTGAACCACTGGAGTTGGTGCCTTATTCTACGCTGGCAGTTTTGACTTGGTACTACCAAGCTGCAGTGCTGATTTTAATAAACTTGGCACCAGGCACCACAGAGATTCCCATCACTGGCCTCTGACATCTGGCTAATGTGAAATGTAGGCACTGGCCTGAACCCTTTGTCAGGCTTGCTTTATGCCAGCAAAATGCTGTTTCTCATCTGTCTCACATCTAACTCAGCAGCTGAGACATTTAGGAAGTGGAATGGGGGGAAAATGGGCAAGAGCCTTTTTGCTGAGATAGTCCAACCCTGACGCTATGCTAACCAGCATCTTTTAATGAGGACCCTATGGGAAAGGGATCTGCAAAAGAATGAAGATTTCAAACGAACTACGATGCAGCTCTCATCCTGTCTGCTTGTGATGATGATTGATAGTGTGTACTCCAGAATATACAACATGCTGGAATTGTCACAGTATTGCTCTGCCATTTTATACCTGAGTGTTTGCATTTTTTTTGCTTTTTGTGTGACTTGAAAGATGAGTTTCAATTAAAAAAAAAAAGTTAATGGCTTCAATACCTTGCTGTCTGATTTCTGAATAATGCTGTCCTTGCTGTCTGAAGTATGTCACAAGGAAGCAATAGTTTGCTTTCTAAAAAAATTAGTTAGCAAAAATGGTAGTTTGGCCTTAGGCCAATATTATCTCATGTGTGTGCTGCTCGCAGAGGAAAAGATGGTATTTCTAACAGCCAACCTGGCAATTTCATCTAAAAATCCAGCTTGTTCCTTCCTCTCATACATTATCACCAGTGATGAAGATCCTGCTTTCTGTGGCATGTTCACGACTGACTCTGCACAGGTCAGTCTCTGTTAGCGAATAGTGTTGCTGATGACAGATGAGAGGTATCTGGAATTTAGCGTCTGCTTGCCTTTTTGGATCATTGCCTACTTTTTAAAACAACTCAGTATGAAAGTGTAATTTGCTCAGTAATAACTATTTCAGCATCATCCGCAGCGTGGACCACAAACTGGAGTCTTTGTTCTGCTCTAAAACAAAACAACAAGCTTTAATGGAAGATTTGCCAAAGTATAAATAAGAAATGTCAGTGCTGCCCCATGCTCTGTTCACTGGATGTGTATTCATATGGGGATGAAGATAATGATGTTGGTCATATACTTTTGAGCCGGTTTTCTGAAGAGGGGTGGTGATTCCCTTTCTCTGTGCTTTGTCTCCCTTGTGCTGGGGACCAGGATACTCAACAACAGACATGAAGTCCAGAAGGGTGTACCACAATGACATCTTAATGTCTCCAGTGCCTTTAAACATGCTTAAAATCATTCACAAAAGTACAAACCCCTCAAATTCTTGAAGCAGAAAAGAAGTATTCTGACCCCAAATCTGGCAACAGTTTAACTGTGACCAAAGATCAAGAGACCAACCCAAAATTCAACCAGAAAACCTTACAGGAACCCAGCTTCTTGCAGCAAGGTCCACCCCGGTCTCTTGCTTGATTAGGTGGAGAGATAAAACATTAGCTTTGAAATATGAATAATCAATAGGCTACAGTACCTTCCAGACATCACCTGCTGGCTCTCTTGGTCATAGTCCTGAAGACCAGGCTGGATGCTGAAACTGGCTGCTTCTCATTTCTCACTAGCTCCCTGCCCACCTTGGTTGCAGTGCTCAAAGCCAGGTCTGGAGGAGGCCACTGGGTGGGCTACCTGTATGGAGCTTCTCTCCTTGTTAGTTTAGGGAGGTATTTGAAAGCGCAGTCCTTCCCTTAAGATTCCGCATCAGAGTCTGCAGGTGCCAAGATTGTGTGTGACAACCATTGCAGCACTGGGACATCTTCACCAAGCTGCCTTCCACTGGCCAGGATTGACCAAAAGCCCGTTAACTGGGTCTGCCCAAAATATCATCAGGAGAAATGCTAGCAATCTACTTGGCTTCTAAACCAGAAGAGGGTTCCTCAAAGTGATCTAATTAAATTGTGTTAAAAATCCTTTTCCACCTCTTTAAATAGTTCAAATTCTACCTTTAATTAAATTCGCATTAATAATGCTTTTGGCTATTTAGTTACTGCAGCAGGGTTAAACATTCCCTAAGCCTCTTGGTTTAATTGACTCTGATAATTCAGCTAAAGCAGCTAAAGTACATTCAACACATCTCTTGCAGAGATGGGGTTTGTTTCAATGTGTATGAGGAGTCGAGCCTTTGGGTACACACCTGATCTTCTAAAGGAACCTGATGTTTCATGGCTCTTAGCAAGCCAGACGATCCTTCTGCTTCATGCAGTATTTTCTCTCCAGGGCTCAGAATAGTTCCCCGTGAAAGCCTGGCTCAAAAAACCCTGAAATCTGATAAAATGTATAGATTTATTGTGAGCTTCCAGGCAGGTCAGGGGCTGAGTTCTAGACGGGAAGTGGTTTTGGTTTTCTGAAATGTTAGATGATTTGGCCAACACAAACTGAACACAAGCTGTCCCAAGCCTGTTAATAAGTCAGACGATGGCGCTATCAATGCTGGTTTTGAGACTGATAAAAGACTCTTTTTAATGTGCTACTGTTATGCTGTTTTTTCTTCTCTAAACTGATTTACTGATGTGAGTCTCTCCAATACAGGCTGAGAACCAATTCACACAAATATGCTTAATGCTGCTCCACATATTGCTTTTTTTTTCCCCAGTGCAGAGGAGAAATGAGCAGCAATTCTTTGATGTAGAGAGTAGATTGAGCTGATGATCTCAGCACTGGCAGAACAGATATGTAAGAGGGACCTGACCACCTTTAGAAGCAGCAGCATCTCATGGAGGTGGAGATGCTCCAGGACTCCAGAGATGTCCGTTAGATTACCTGACTGACTGTGGTTTTTTCCCCCCATCTGACCCAGAGCAAAAGTTCCAGTGGAAAAAGGGCTTTTTGCTCTGAGTGTCTCTGTGTTGCTTCGAGCGCTTCTGTTTTGTTTAACTTCTTGTTCTTCTCTAGGCATTCTGGTGCCACTGCCTTCAGTTGGAGGAGACATGCCTCTCCCTCTGCTCTGAAAAAAGAAACAGCCAAACACTTCCCACAGAAAGGGAAACTGAGGTATGAAGGAAAAGGAAATAACTCACAGAATATTATGGACCGAGTCAGAGGAGGGAGAGAAATTGCAGAATGGGTGAGAGTGATCCTGGTCTGCTCTCAAAACCAGGCTCTGTACCTGAGACTGCAAGAAAAGCTTCTAAAGGTCTAAGCAAATCCCTAGAGACTGCCTGCAGGTAGTTCTCATGGCGGGGCGAGATGGTGCTGTGCTCTATGCCATTGCAGAAGTGTTTTGTTTTATTGACACGGGATAGCCCTCCGTGAGGCCCCTTGGGCTGGTCCCAATGAAACAATGCTGCAAACCCCAGCGATGTGCTGGGAGTGCTCCCATCCACCATTCACAGCCTTTTAGTCAAACGTTTGATAAACCTGTCCACTGATGGGAAATGTTTTCTGCTGAAGATAACCAGCACAGGTTGCTCCATCAATCCAGGCCACACCTTTTTGTAAGAGACTCTTTGACATGGGAACTCGGTGAAGCTTCTGATTCCACAAATCCTCGTGGATATTAAACAGCACCAAAGCTGGCAGAAAATACAGTTTAGTAAAACCTGGGGAGGATTGGAAGCATTTTTCTGGTGCTGGCTTCTGTCAGACTTTGAAATGGCACCCGGAAACATGATGGAGCTGCTAGTAACTTGGCAAAAATAATGCATAATGCAATAGGAACAACAGTGCTCAAAACCAGGCAGATCGAGTCATAGCGTCCACTATGATGGAAAGGTCTCTCCTATCCCAAGGGTATTCTGATGTCCATGAGTGGGCATAAATAGACCTGGAGGAGGGCAAAGACAGCAACTTGGCAGCATTCCCTGGCATCTCCTCAAACTGACGTAAGCCAATGTGCTGACTGACCCTGGAACGGTGGAGGGAATCCCGGGTGATGGATGTGTAGCGTTTCTCCAGGAGCCTGTCACTGCAGACTGTCCTGCACCACAGGGACCATGCTGCCCTTCTTGGTTTTGCTGATTTGAATGACACCTATAAACCTTCCAGGATTCAGACCCTAGAGCCTGGGACAGGCGCCATTATAATTGCATAAATCAAACACCATAAAAAAGACAGGCTTTACTTTAGCTTTCCTGCAGACAGTTCATTAAGATAATTACTCACTTGCAGCAGTCGAACGCAGTCGCTGCAACTGCTGTCCTCAGTAGTGGGCCCAGAATGACAGAAATTGGCAGTGTGGTCGTGCATCAGCCCAAATCCTTTTGCTGCCGTTTGCTTTCCGCCTGCGTGCTCATCCATCAGGCCAGATGCCCCCACGGACTCCAGCTGAGGATCTCTCTCATCCATGTGTCTGCCTACAGGATTTTTGTAACATTTCTAGTGAAAGTTATTTTACAAAGATGTTCCTCTTCTTGGATGATCCCAGAGTTTTTATTGCTACATCTTCCTACCCTGGTCCTTTTGTACGGTTTGCCTTGATCCAGCTGGTATGCTGGCTCATTCACCTTAGAGAAAAAGAGCTGCCCGCACAGTGACCTTCATCTCTGCAAACGATAAGTCTTATACTGGTGTTTCATTCAAGCAATTTAGTAGGACAGCTATAACCTTAGGGACTTCTGGGCCTGGCCAGCATTGTTGGTGGCACTGTACAGGTGGAGAAGTCAAGGCATGGAGGAAGGACATGAGCTGCCCAAAGTTTTGCAGGTGGTCAGCAGGAGAGCCAGGAATAGCGCCCAGGAGGCAACTTGGTCCCAGGGGGAAGATGTGGGCAAGGTTAACATGGCAAATAAAAAATGATCCCTTTGAAATAACTGTGACCCATAAAATACATAAACATTGACTAGCCATAAACAGCATTTACTATTTACAGCACCAGAGCACAAGGATATTTGCCAGCCATTTGCAGCTTAAAGGATAAACAGCAGTTCTTTTGATCCTGAGTTGTTGAAAGGGTTATATTTAAAGCCATTCATTTCTCCCCAGTCTTTCACCCTTCACATCATTTGGTTTATGCTTTGCACTGATCCCCCTGCTGTAAATATCACTTTCGCAATACGGTGGCGGTGCAGTAAATATCCT